TCAGACGCTCCGAATCTCTGGGTTTTCGAGGTAAAAAGGAAGCTGGCACAGAGCGGCTGCCCGTTCATATGCTCCATGGCATTACCCCCAGTGATAAAAACCTCTCAGGCAAGGAAGCTTTGGCAGACCCTAGAGACCAGCTGAGAGCAGAGATGTTGGCAACCCTTGCCAGGCAAGTGATGGGCAGGGGCAGGGCAGCATAGAGCTGCCTAATTAACAGCCACCGGCTCAGTGCTTCAGCATCACCAAAAGAATTTGCTGCAGAAAAGGGGCTTTTTGTTATTTTTCACAATCGAAACCAGACTTTGTAAGAAGGCTATCGGAGGCGGAGAGCAAAGGAGATCAAGTCCCAGGCCTCCCAGCCTCAACAGAGAGAGGAAGAGAGTGAAGCTCTCTGCAAACAAGCGCTGCTTCAGAAGAAGAGACAGCAGTTTAAACGGGAACACGTGCAACAGCCCAAATAACCCGAGACCGTGGCCGTGTCGCATAGAAACATCTTTTTAGGGAGGAAAAGGAAGTACAAATAGCCCGACACTCTGCACAGGGGTGTGAAAAATAGAAATACAGTCTGGGAAAATAACCTATTGAAAGGACACCACTCCAGAGAGCTTGCTAGGGGGAAAAAAAACCATTTTCTGCACTGTTCCTCTGGTTGCTCACCTGACAGTCACTCAGAGCAGGGCCAGGCTGGGCCGGAGAACTAAATACACATTTTTCTTCCAGCTAATCAGGGCACTGCGACCCACAGCAAAGGTCTCAGGGCAGGGCTCGCCAACAAGCAAGCAGCACTGGCTGGGCTCCCGGGGTCCAGGGTCCGCGGGAGAGATGCCTCAGTGTGTGGACACAGCTTGTTTCACAGTGCTTCGTGGCTTTGCAAAGGCCAGAGAAGGGAGGCAGATGCTTCATGCCAAAGCTGGAGGTCGACTCGAAGACACGAGGCTCCAGCGGCATTTCCCAGATCCTCAAAACATCTTCAGAGGTGCGGCGAGAAACCCTAGAGACACACACCTTCACCCCATTTTGCTCTTTGCATATTCCAGGAAGCCGTATCGATCGCCCCAGAGCCCCCGTCTTCTTCCAGAAGGGCTGTCCTTGCATGACGGGACGTGCCCAACTCTGCCACGGACTCCTTGCGTGCCCAAGCAGGCCTGCATGTCCCTGCCTCGGTTTCTCAACAGGAGAAGTGATGCTCAGCCCCTACAAAGCAGACCCCAGTAATCACGGAGAAGGCGCCACGCAAGGCAGAGCCTTACTTGGTGCTGCCATGAGATGGCAGGAGTTTCCTCTGCACTTTGCAAGGGAAAACACTCCCAGCTCTCTGGACCCTGCTGCTCCCCCACCCTGCCCTGGCATCTCCCTGCGAGGATGCACCCAGAGCAGCGCCCGGCCCTGAAAAGCAAGGCACCCAAAAGGCCGAAGCTCCAAAATGCCCCACCACCTCTCCAAAGCTCCTCTGACCCGCACACCTGCCTCCTGCCACCCCAGAGCCAGGGGAGCACCAACACACCCACCAGAAAACAAGGACAGGAGAGGATCCATTTACCCCGAGGCATCAATCAACAACGCCTATCTCCAGCAGACAGACAGCTGTGCAACAGAAGAAGGTTTGAAGGACCTGGGCCAAAATGAGCCTTCAAAGGGAAATGGTTTGCAAGCAAAAACCAAGTCTCTCTCTACAACACACACACACATCTGGAGCAGTTTTTGCAGAGAGGGGCCAGGATAAATGTTTGGTTTCACCCCAAGACCATATCCCAAGACTAAGTTGCGCCCGGTTCTGGTCCCAACATCCAACTTTAATCAGAAGCAGATTATTCCATCATTGCACTGTCCTTCTCGCACCTCCTACCAAAGAAACTGGCCAGTGCCTTTACAAAGTGCAGAGACCCCCCCACAGAGCCACAATTAGCTCCACGCTCAGAAACCCCCTGCTCTGTTTCTCGAACGGCTGCATCCCCCCCGGCACAACCTGGAGGTTTCCTGTACAGCCAGGACACAGCCAACCTCCCTGCCAAACCTCAGAGCATCTGGAGGAGGCTGCTGGCACATCTGTGCACAAGACCGCAGGCTCCAGAGCATCGTAAATCAAAACTTTGCACTGCAAGCCAGGGAGGTCAGATGCAAGCCCTTTGCCGCGGAGAGAAGATCCTGCTGTGGTAAGGAACAGCGCGGCCACTCATAAAAGCCAAGGTGGCACATGCCTCGAGCATTTCATCCGACCAGAAACAAGACCACCGGCATGGCTGAAAGAGCCACCTCCTAAAATCAGCATCACCTGCCAGGTCCGCTCCCCCCCAGTCTTTCCTCACGCATCATTGCCAGAGCACCGGCTCCCAAAACCATCGTGCTACAGAGCAGCCATCATCCAAACAGTCCATCACAGCCGGTTTCATTGGACTTCCAAACAACTGCTCTATCCCTGCAGGTCCCATTCAGCTCAATGGTAAAGTCAGGACGCTGTGCCCCCAGCTAGTAGCCAGGCTGGCACCGCGCGCCCCAGCTGCACAGGCTCAATAGTAGCTCTTTTTGCTTTTAGGCACTGCATTAGCAATGCAAATAAACCACCTCTGCCCACAGCTGAAAAAGGACCTCTGTAATCATCTACCCTGACCTCCTGGAAAAACGCAAGCCCTAGGGCCGTTTTGCCTGAGAGCAGATCTTTTAGGGGAAAACACTATCATTTGAAAGCAGGCAGAGGTGGCTGCTCAAAGGCTATCCCAATGATTAAGCAGCCTCCTTGTTACTAACATGCAGCTTGTTTCT